AGTTTTGTATCAAACGTCTATAATGTGGCATCACTTCGTGTTCAGGGAGATGGAGAGCAAATTCCAAGGCCACTAACACTGGGAATTCAAAGGCTATCAGTTCTCGCCTGTTCAGCCGGAACTTCTCTTCCAGTTTCTGTAATGCAGTAGAATTAAAAAAAAAAAAAAAAAAAAAGAGAAAGTTTTAGTGTATTAAGATACTAGTTCCTTAAATTTTAAACTGATGATAGTGTTATAGCTATCTGAAAACATTCTGCTGTCACCCAAACTCTACTTCACTGCATATTCATGAGTCTAGCTTAGAGGCAGAAAGCTGTGGCATTTGCACTTGACCTAGGAGGGAGGTCTTAACTGATGACCTGTGCCCCCAGCAGCTGTGAGGGGTGGCAATTGCTGACCAAGTGTCGGCAGTGGCCAGCAGGGATTGTGGACTGCTTCCAGATGCCACCGGCAGTGCCAGCATCAGGGTGGCAAGTGATGGCAAAGGGATGCGCTGCCATACTCAGGGTGTATGTGCACCCGTGTGCACCCCCTATGCATCACCCGTGGAGGTCTTGGTAGCTATGAAACAGGTGAGGTGGCCTTTGTCTAGTGGGAGCTGTTCCACCATCTATAATTGCAGTCCACGTGTTCCCCAGATACTCCTCCTGCAGACAAAACTGAGCCCACAAGGGCCAGAGAAGTGAGCCTCTGGGCTAGTGTCTCTTCTGAACTGATCGGAGGAGCTGGTCAGCCATGAGTGAGTATTACTAGGCCTCTCTGAGAAGCTCAGCCAGAGGGAGTGTAGAATCCCATTTCCTCCGGTGGGGGCTTTTCACCAGGTAAGCCTGATCTGTATAAGAGAGATGGTGTCAAGTTTTGGGTTCTCAAATGGGAATAAAAGGGATTCTTTCAACACTGTGAAAACCCCTGTTTCTATAAACTGATCTGACCATTCTGCATAGTAGCTTATGATCTCTAGATGTAAAGTGACACTGATAATTACCAACTGATCAATTTGAGAAGAAAAAAATTCAACCAGTTCTACTAAATTTCTTATTAGAAAAGCAGTTTGTTTACGTCACAAAATTTGGCTGGACATATTTCTTAGCAAGTCAGAGTGCACAAGCAACATTTTCTGTCACTTAACTCATCCATTCCCTCTTAGCAGAAGAGCAAAAATTTGACATTTTCACGAGGGACTATGAGCCATGAGTAGCTATCATAGCAAGGGAAGATTGTGCCTCACACCAAAATAAAGAAATGACTTCTCTAAAAGTAAATGAATCTGGCATAACTTATTAATTACATCTCATAAGGGCCCCCCTGCTTAGTGCCTACTGCTTTAGTTTTAAGACATGTTATCCAATATTGTGGGGAGAAAAAGGAACATTATTAAAAAAGACCATTAATTCTTTAGAGGTGGAAGGTGCTGTCTGCATCAGTAATGAGATCAGTGGGTATGTCTTCACTCTAATCTGTGCCAAACAGCAGTGCCCTTGAAACATACTGTACTGCTCCATGTAAACTGCTGTATTTACCCAAATCCAAGACTACTTAACATTTAAGACAAACCTCCAATAATTAGATTCTGGACGTACAAAATTATAAACTCGTTAACTTTCCATGTCCAGAATCTAATTATTGGAGTGTCATCTTTAAATTTGGCTCCCACCACTGCTGCATCAGGAAAGCTGCAGTGGGGGTGGGGGGAAAAGGGGAATGCTGAGGAAAGCAGAGGCAAGGGGCCATGCAGAGGGGAAACTGAGGCAGGGGTAAGAGAATGGACCCAGCCAGTGGCTATGAATCAGAGCAAGGGAAAAGGTAGGACGATGAAGGAAGAGTCAGGAAACTGGACGCGATTCCAGCTGGGCCCTCTTTACTGTTTGCGCAGCACTGTGCCCTGCCAGGAATGTCATTACTGGGCGTTAAATAATAGCTTATTAGTTAAATAATAGCTTATCCACA